CTCTCTCTCTCTCTCTCTCTCTCTCCTCGCCAGACCTCCCACCAGAGGGGTGTTCTTCTTCAAAAATGCGGCTACAATTGCAAAGTCGAAAAATCAAGCTTCCACCACGCTCGGGCTCCTTCTCCCTCTCACGTTTCTCTCCGAGCCCTCCTTGTCCCCCCCGTTTCTCTCCCAGCCCTCCTTGTCCCCCCTGCCTCCTCCTGCTACCGTCTTCACCCGAATAGAACGCTCGGTCGTTATAGCTGTGCATTTGGCACAACTTTCAGTCCAGATGCAGCAATAAGTACCGGGTGTTCTATTCCGGTGAAGACGGTAGCTATGGTGGTCACCTACTATCTCGTACCTATGGCTGCCCACCCAAACGCTCCCTCTCATCTTCCTGAAGACCTCAGGGAAGCATGCCACCCTGCTCCAGCACTGGCATGAGCGCAAGGAAAAATGTGTTGCAACTTGACTGGCAGCAAAATAGACTGCTTTGCCCACCTGCTCGCTGAGGCTGCCGCTGCTCGGGCCGGGGAGCTTGCCACCCAGTATGACTCATCTGGAAACTTTGTCTGGGGACCATTAAGATGTGTTGGCGATCTGCGGCCAAACTGGGGCAAACTGGGGCAAACTGGGGCAAACTGGGGCAAACTGAATCAAACTGGGGCAAAGTATGGCAAAGGGGGTCGAACTGCAGCAAACTGGCGTGAACTGGGGCAAACTGGGGCAAACTGGGGCAAACTGGGGCAAACTGGGGCAAACTAAGGCAAACTGGAGCGAACTGGGGCAAACTGGGGCAAACTGGGGCCAAACTGGGGCCAAACTGGGGCCAAACTGGGGCCAAACTGGGCCAAACTGGGGCCAAACTGGGCCAAACTGGGGCCAAACTGGGGCCAAACTGGGGCCAAACCGGGCCCAAACTGGGACAAACTGGGGGCAAACTGAGACAAACTGGGGCAAAGTAGCGCAAACTGGGTCAAACTGGGGCAAACTGTGGCCAAACTGGGGCAAACTGTGGCCAAACTGGGACCATAAGATGTGTATGCCATCGAAAAATATTGTCAAACTGGGCCTCACTGTTGACTTCTCAAGCCTCATACACGAATCCAGGCCTGGCTGGCCTTGCACGCCTACGAGGGCATGTCGGACTTAGAGGCTGACTCAAGGCCCATTGAACACAGGCTTCCTGCCCTGCTTTCCCAAACCTGGTCTTTTCCGAATGAGAGGGGGCAGAGAGAAGGGGCAGAGAGAAGGGGCAGGAGGCGATGTCATGGTCTTTGAGTGTAGGCTGTCATGTCCAGGTCGAGCTCCATGCTGCTGATCACAAACAGCCATTCCATTGGATGGAGATCGACAAACAGTATCTCGCGGCAGAACTCATAGAGCAAGCAAGGCACTGAAGGCAGTCCATTCTCTTGAAGTCAAGAGGGCAGTGCATCGCAGAGCAGTAGTGCATTGCAAGACGCCCATGACCATTGCATTGATACTGGATCAAACAGATCGCAACCGTTAAAAGAAGAACAATCGTGTGGACGGATCAAAATTACTAAATTAGGAACAAAAGGTGGTCCGGTGGAGCATACTTCGGGACATCCGTTGAAATGGGAACAATACAGAGACGATGAACCTGGCCCCTGTGCAAGGACAACATGCATAAATTGAGAAATGAATGGTTCAAATGGTCCAAAATTTTCTACCCCCGCCCCCCCCCACAAAAAAAAAAGAAGCTGAGGGGAAAGGAAAGGTTATGATGTAGGTGTGTACCGAATCGTACCTCGCCTCCTGCAATGATGGCGGTTGCGATCAGCGGCCTCCCATTCGCATCGGTCAAACTGTTCGCCATACTTGCCACTTGTTGCGTTAACAACAAGTTTGGACACAGCACAAGCGCGAACCCATAACGGTAATCTCTACGTCTGCGCAGCTCCTCCGTGTGTTCCTTCGACCCATCTTCAGCCAGCGCGTGCTCAGCAACCGGATGAGCAGTCCCATGAGGGGACAGGTTAGTCATCTTCGTCTTCGTCGCCGACGTCGTGAGCTGGGTTGGTGCCGGCGAGGCCTTCGCCGGCGTGTTGTTCGCCGAGAGGAGAAGAGTGCTACCGGATGACTTGCCCTTAGCCGCTCGATCTGCCAGGATGCGCTGGATCAGCGGCACAACGTATGCGTGTGTTTTCCCGCTCCCTGTCTCTGCCGCAACCACAGCGTCGCCTCCTTTCAAAAGCTGAGGCACTGCCACTGCCTACCACACATCCACACACACATTCCAGTCTTCCCCCTCCCTCGCCCCACCTCCCCTCCCTCGGCCCCCCGGTCCATCATTGTATCACAAAATCCCAACTGAGACTTTCAGATGACCACCCCCCAAAAAATGACACTTTTTTTTTTTCAATAAAAGGGACCAAAAAAAAAATGACATTATAAAAGTCCCAGCAGCACGAATTTCCGGATATATACACATTCAAAAACTTTGGAAAAAAAAAAAAAAGAGATCTGAAGAATGCAATAATTCAATTATAATTGCAATTCGATTTCATTACCTCAATCTTGATATTTCTGGACACTGCAAACACACGTCTGCAGAGTCAATACAGACCTTATAACCCAGGGAAAGGGGGGCCAGTTCATGACTGAGAGAAATTTCCAGTGCTACCGTCTTCACCCGATAGAACGCCCAGTCGTTATAGACGTATTTGGTGCAATTTGCAGTCTACATACAGCGATAATGACCGTGTGTTCTATTCGGGTGAAGACGGTAGTATGCCCTCAGAGACCGACAGGTTCACACTACATCCGAGAAACATAGGTCCCAACCTCTGTAAGAAAAAATAAATTCTGTCTGTTTTTTTTTTTTCTTTTCTTTTCTTTTTTT